CTGCTGACTTATTTAAGTAGCGTTTCGGACATTGGAGCCGATCTGAAAGCCGTAAATGCATAGGAACACAGCAAATAGGAAGCAAAATCGGCGATGAGAGCACTATATAAAATGGCCGCAGCAGATAGCAGAAAAAAAGTCGCCAGATCAGAGACCAACGCTCAATTAAGCGAAGCAAACTTAGAGTAAGCCAGTCACATCTTAATAATCATAATGTTTGTTCTGTACTTAATAAGGTTATCCTAGCTTGACGCTAACATAAGACTGATTTATCGAGATCCCTTATGTGTTCGTTTCATCTTCTTGCTATAAACTAATCATATAACTAACGCATGGGTGGCAGACTCGCATCGTCTATCGTTAAAATTTTGGTTATCGGGTGTTTGTGTGGAGAGTGCAATTTTCATGTGAACTTATATTCCAAAGTACTCTATGTGAGCAAATACATATTGCATACTGAAAAAGTTGAACCATTACGGGCAAACTTTTTGGGTCTGCCTAAAATTTGGAACTTCCCTTCAAAGTTACGTGTGTAATTGCCACAAAGAGTCTACGAGACGCGACTATACGCCGGTACACCTTTCGGTGATCCTAAATCTCTGTTTCAACAATAGAAACTCAAAGGAAATCTGGATCGCGAAAAAGATGGATCCGTTCGCTTCTTCAGACATCTTTTAAATGAATTCCTCTAAGAAAAAGGTTGACTATTAAAACACTATTTAATCAAAACGCGTAATCGATAAGGGAATCACCCGCCGCACAAAACGCTGAGGAACGGTGGTCGGACCAAATATTGAGCATTTGTTTAGCATGGCTGTTCAGCCAATAGCAACGTATCTACACTCGATCCACAGATGCATATGTAAACGATTAACTCAAAAATTTATACATCCCTATTAAAACAGGTCAGTCTGAGTTTTATTTTTCAGCATAAATTTCGTCCAGTTTGTCTTCACACTTTATTCTTTCATCGACAGTGAAGGTTCGAGCGGAAAAGGAAGGAAAAATCCTAGAAAGGAGGACGTCGAATTTCGATTACCGTCGAACATTCATAACTTCAAAGTTGAAGATCTTTTAAAGCATTTCAAAGATTTCAGCATTATTTTCGTTCTTTGCTCGTTCATCATAAACGTTATTAGTTCGACACGTATTATGTGCTACGAGAATCAACGCTAAAGAGCTTGTCCGATCCACGCAGGATTACCGAACTTGTTGAATACCCCGTACGTGATTTAATAATTCTCTGTTAAATAATCAATTCACAAATATTAAATCCTTGATGATGTAATTCTCCGAACGCATTTAATTAGCTTCATCACAATTCGAACCTTTGGACCACCGCTACAATTAAGATAAAAATCCATTACGACTATTTAAGATTACATAACGTGTCTTCGGTAACGTATGATACTTTTTGTTTACGTAATTAATATTACATAAGTATTTTCTGTTTATAGATTGTGTAGGTAGCGTGTCTGTGTTTTGCGTAAAGTGTGTCACGGTCGACAGAAGTTGCGTTTTGCGGCAGAGATCTATATAGCGTACGGTATTCGGTATATTAGTTCGGCTATCAGTGACATTATGGATGTGCATTTGAATCAACATATGTGTGCCATATCTCTGGGAGGGCATGCATCAGATGCTACGTCTTCTATTATCAACATGTACTATTCGGGCAGGGGCTTGTCAGCGACCCAGTGTATATCGACTATTCGATTATGTACGTAATACTGAATAAATGTATTCGCACGCTGGCCGTTTTGAGAACAATGTTTGCACCTCGATTTTGATACAATCTTTTGCGTTGGGGCATCGTACGGAATGCACTTTGAACAGCGATAGACCTAATTTTTAGGTGGGTATACTGTTTACTAAATGCTAAATTACGACTCTGCACTTTCGCACGCTTAAATGTTATGTATTATCCAGCAGAGGGTGTCGACGGCCTTCGTTCTAGCTATGTTATGTTTCTGCAAAGCTATTACAATCACTTCGTTGGAGCCCCCCACTTTGTAGCCATCAATCGAAGCTAATTATTCTTACTAACCGCTGTCTCAAGATAATTTTGGCCAAGATATTTACCAATATTGCGTTGCGTGCTCTTCATTAAGAGTTAATAGCCAAGCGGCCCACTAGAAAACGATTTCGCTAGCGTATATCTTTCTACGTAGAGCATAAAAGCTACCAAATTGTTTCCGTTTATTCGATGCGGATCTGGGTCTAAATCGGTCGAGGATTCGAATAAGAATCAGTTATCCGTTGGGGAGGAGTGAGCTCGGAGAGACTGCGTTCTTCGTTTTGAATGAAAATCTACTTCGGCCGTAGGACTGACTCTATAAAACCAGTTAAGTAGTACACCGATTCGTGCATTAGTAGAGTGACCACAGGTTGAATTCTGGAACGACACAACTGTACCATTTATATACACGCTTCTTACATCACTTGAGGATCTGAATAGTGAAAGCCTATTCTTGGGTTTACCTTTCGGTTTAGAAGCAAATTAAAGCCAAGGCCTAAGTATTCTTCGGAGCTTCAATACAGTAAATATGGCCGAGCTAGCTTCATAATTACAGGACAAGTTACTTCGAGATGTTTCGCACATTTCGACAAGGCTGTTGTCCAATCCTACACATCCACCCAATGCTTCAATCGTAGTCAGCTGACGCCGGTAATCGTTTTTTAGAAAATCAAGCTCCCCAGAATAGAAACCTAAACCTGTTATGCCTTTATGATTCTAAACTAAGCACATCACAAATGATTTCGAGTGGTCATAAACTGAACCTGCAGTCAAACTGACACCTGGCTGTCAATCATCTAAACCGTCATATGACGACAATATAACCATAATATTATAAAATCTATTCTGGATGGAATGAATATGAAAGTAATATAAAAATCAGACAGAAAGAGACATGCTTTAAACGTACATATTTCATTATTATTTTGAGGTCTAATGAAGATATTTCTTGCGACGTACGTATTATACGGTACATACTTTGTTTGTTTTTCATAGCTAATTCTCTATCTACATGGCTATGAAGAATAAACACCGAAAAGACGTTAAGAAATTTCTGAAGCAAGCTCGATCAGAAGTATGATAGAAGAAAGACTGTGTGTACTGGAAAGAACAACAATTCGAATGCTCCCTAATAGACAATACCAGTTCGATAGACATTATGCCATGCAGGTCAGTACCTATCGTTTATAAATAACAAAGTAGGACGATAAAAGTCCTATGTTATTTATAAACCCGGAGCAGCTCAGTGGGTCTTTACGAATCACTCTTTGCTATGCGCGACGCAGCTGCATTTGCTTGGCACCAGCTATTCATAGCTTTAGTACCAAAAGATCAGCTTGCTTAACGACGCTCATCTGATCAGCAGTGGGATACGGCTATAGCGGTTTACCGAAAAGTTCCAGCGTGACGTAACACTACAAAGTTGACAGGCAATAATTGCTAGCGACCATTCTCTATTTTCTATTGTTCAATCAGCTTTCTACGAGATTTCAGTAAGTTATCCGTACGATAGCACTTCCTGCTTTATCGGCGTACATGTCCACGCTAACGGCTTCGACAAAAAAAATATATTTCAGCTTGAACCTAAACAATACTAAAAGATCTCCGAAATTGATTAGTGTTACTTCGAGTCGTCGATCAAATGGTAGTACCCTCTGCGAAACAGATAGAATACTATAATAAATTAGAAAAGCGTAATCAAGTTTCTCAGATCTTTGTTCCATGTGTGTCTGTCTGAAAAAGGACGCATGTTGTGGATTGGTCTGTAAGTGAGCTCAGCAACAAGCTAGAGCGATTGATTAATGAAAAGAGCCAAATTAGTAAATTTTAATGAAATCAGTGAATGGTTAACAGATCACAAGGATCGGCGGCGAGAATAGCCTAGTAACTCAGAATCGATATGCATGTATCAAGCATATAGGTCACCCTTTAAGGCCTTACTTTGAAAAAAGTCTTGTATCAATTTAGCGTATTATTAATAGAAAACTTCTCTCAAAAATAGCAAACATATGTTTGCGTCTTTATCTCCCTTTATAGGCCCCGCAGGGACCATTTAAAACTAATTTCATCCTCTTGTAACGCATGGGGCCTTCAAGTCACAGCAGTTGCGTTTAAGATAATTGTTACAATAAAACCAATTATAATCAGCACTGCTATCATGAATACGTATCCTAGGGATGCCTAATGGCATCCTATAGCGTTCTTGAAATGGTGCCCTATATTTCCACTGAGTTTCAAGATTTATCCCATTTCGACACCTGCCTGCTGAAAGCTACCAAAGCCGGCGCGGTTGTCTAAGAAGTGACATTAAGTACAAAATAACGTGTCTTCTATTCATGCGATGTATAAAAGGTACTATAATGAATTGATGTTTCTGCTATTCAAACATGATTCTACATCAGCTCAGTGCAAAGATCTATCGAGCAGGCGCACACACACAGACACGTATACATACACACAAAAATCGCGTAAGACAGTCGATACTCATCACCGAGAAGCTGTTTTTTTTTTTCGCTGTATGGCTAAAAACTCCCTACATCTGTACCCACTAACACCCTCAACATGATCACTAGCGAACGCAGTACTAGCCGTAGCGAAGCGCTATCGTGGATCGATAGCTCTTACAGGCTGGGTATGCCCTTCGATGGCAAACGCATCTGTCTTTGTCCGTCTGTTTGTCGCGGCAATTTGCGTTAACAATTCACTGCGCCGATACTGCCACAGCAGCGAACGGCAGTATCAAGAAAGCGTGCCTCTCCGTGACCTCGCTTCGTGTGTATGCACAGACACCAGCGTGGTTCTGGTGGATCCAGACTGGGCCAGTAGCGGCAGCTAATAGGACGGAGGAGCAAGGGTGTATGTGCAGTGTGATGCACGACCTGTGTGCCAGCACGACTCTCTGATGGAATGTCGCCTCTCGCTGCGGCTGCTTTGAAGGCGCCCGTGTAGCAGATGTTGTACTATTTGTATTAGCAGTGTCTCGTTGCATGATGATTCGATCATACTTGCTGCTGATGGTTATGACGAACGATGCTGTTAATGATGCCGCTGCTGCTGTTGGCATAGCGGGCGAATGGTAAGGGCAGGTCTTCTTTTCGCCCTCCTCTCCTGACCCAGCAGCACTTGCACAGACCAGGTGTCGAGTGAGACTCGAGGGTCAACAGGTACCTATTTGTGGCCGTAAGGCTCTTGCTGACAGGCAAGTGGCAACAGCGCTATCGGTATCGGTGGTAGGTGGAAGGAGGATCGACAAGTAGACGAAACGAGCTAATGAAGGAGACGAACTGCAGACGTCGACTACACCGAATCGACTTGATCGCCCAGTGGTGTCACCGAACGAATACCGAAGGGCGGCAGTAGCTTTTCGTGCTGTTTCTGTTCGGTAGCTGAAGTCTATCGATTTTGCTCGTAGCAGACAGACGGATGAGCGCGGCCACATTTATCTATCTTGAGTTCACACTCGAGCTGTCGAACATTCGATTGATCCGTGTTCACGCATCGGCGGCCACACCGAATTGCAATTAGGGCCAGAGTTCTAGCTTCTTTTTTTTTTGAGACCGATACGAATTTCCATCTGTATCGACACGAATCGCATCAAACGTACATTGTCACGCTTATCATAGAGTCTCATTCTCTCCAGCATTATCATTATTATCATTGCCATCATCATCATCATCATCATCATCGCCATCGCCATCGCCATTATTGTGATCATCGCGTTTTCGCTGATAAAGGTTGTTATGGCTCTACTGTGGCATCTTCATCTCTGTTTGTGAACGTGTGCTGTTAATGAATGCACTCAGATTGATGTCGCCTCCGTAGGCCTGCATCAGCAGGCGTCATCTGTCCTCAGCTAACATCGCCTTCTTGATCAGTGCGCGCGACAGGAGATATTCATCGGATATGCGTATAGGGCAGTTGTGACACATATTTGTATGTGTATGCACTGACAGTGATCTGTGACCCGTGTCGGATGTTGGTGACGTCGTCCGAAACTGGATATAAATGTTCGGAGCGGCGAGCTAACATGTGAGTCGAGACATTCTCAAGGCATGAGTTTTGTGGGGGATGTCGACCTTCTGACCGAGTGCTGGGGGCACTGCTTCGAATCCTGCTTGTGGTGATGGCGCAGTGAAGCTCATATCGTAACAGAATGCAAGCAGAAAGGAAAGCTGAAGTACAGCAACTAACATAATGGGAGCACCTGTATTGTGAGAGCAGTCGGGAACGGGTTTGCCAGCGAATCTAGCGTACTAGACGAAAGAGAATAACTCGGTAGGTGCAGCGGTCAGACTGTTCGTGCTTCGATATACCAGCGTGTGGAAACGATACAAAATAAGTGCTTTGTGGACCATTCTTCAAGGGAAGAATTTTCTTGGACAGTGTTGATTCGTGTACAGAATACGATGATTTTAACGGGTGTACCACGATGGGTAGCTTTCATAGTATTTGCAGCTTCTGCCGTAGTTTTCATTTTGGGAGTGGTCGGATACTATATGGTGCCCTCGATCATTGGCGCAAAAGTCAGCCAGGTAGGAATTGATTAGCACACAAAGTATTAGGTAAGGGCCATACCACGGTAGGCGGAATAAAATTCATGTTGCCGTACGGCTAATGCCTCTATCATAGCATCCACATGGGGAGACATAATTCAAGAAAAGCTTCCGTCGCGCTAAAAAAGCTTTTTTTTTTGTTCATTTTGAGTTTACATTTTAGACATACTTGCGATGTAGCAGTCCTTTGGGAAATTGTAGTACCGTCCGTCTATGGAATTTAAAGTTGACTTGATTTGACATACATTGGTGCCAACTAATGACGAGTTTCAAGCGGTCAAACGAAAGACGAGCGACATCCTACAGCAATTAATTTAATTAGCGGACCCTTAAGCCTTTTTTCACGCTGTGAACTTAACTCAAAAAGTATACTTATCGAGCACATTTTTTGACATCTGAATAAACCCCATAAAAAAAAAATACAAAAATATTCGTAAGATTTTGAGGAGTCTAAGCATTTATTAGGGTAACCAACAAGATAATCAGCTAGCAGGATAAAGATATGTCTAGTGTTTAATTCAAACGACGATGACTTAGACTGAAATCAAATCAAAACTTCGGTACAGACAGCTTTCGTTGGCCCGCGAAGTTTTCATACGACATGGTATGAGTATGTTTCATTTAAACACGTGGTAGGATAAAGCATTTTAGGCAAGATGGCTGTTTTAGCGCGGTGGACTGACTGGGAAGAGTATATATATATATATGTGTGTCTTAGAACTATATAGGTGTCTTATAATAGGCCTGCGGGTTGAATGCCGAATGCTTTCCTTGCGGTTCCATCCATGCAAGAAAATTTATTGCAAGAATAGTTTACAGAATATCAAATGCGAGAATCAGATACAAGTTTTGTCCAGGATGCGGTCTAAGGGCGGCGCCTGCGCACATTTAGGCGCAATTTTAGGTATTTAATTTATGCGTATCCTATCACCGCAACGTAATTTAAATAGAAGTATATTTAAAGTTGTTCCCTTAGTACAAATAACGTGGTAAATTAGCCATTACGCCAACTTGATACATTTTGATTCAAAAGGTTATACTACTACCCTTTTGTGAAGATAATGCCACAAGTTCCTTGCAAAAACTTTTTACCTGCCTACGATAAATATACGCTTGATATAGAGGAGGTCTATGAAGAAAATTAGCTACTGGAAATTTTCCAATTTGGGGAACAAATGTATATTAGGAGGTCATGGAAATAACTGTAGCCTAGAGATGCTCCCAACGAAACATACTAATTAATATATAATAAAATAGCTATTAAACTGTAATAGGCGATACAGTATTTAATTCTCTGATCTTCTGCCTTATATTCTAAAGCCTGGCCAACCTGTAGTTCATCGTTGTGTTAAAGTGAAATCTTTTCAATCTCATCAATATGGTATAGGGAACAAGATGTCAATTACTTCTATCTGTTAAGTATCTAAAGACGCAAATGCTGCTAACTAGAGTGAGTAGATAGTTTAATTTTCAGATAATTCAGATGGAACTAGCATACGGGTTTGATTCAGCTTGACCCCGTTGCATGCCTCACTTAAGGCCAAAATACAATATCACATGATCAAAAATGGACAGTGGGCAGTAATAATACAAATATAGAAATGACAATAATCATATGTATCATTTGGCTGTTACCTACACGTGACCCGCTATAGCTATGTGTCTGAGTTTCTGTGGATGTATACTTTGCCGACGATTCGTATTTCGTACAGAAAAAAGCGCGATTAACTTTGCTAAGAACGAACGTTGCGGTATGACAGACAGCCCATGATTATTTATTACCTGTATCAGGGACAATCACCGCCATCTTGGCTAAACGTAGCAGTCGTCGTTACTGCTATTGACGCTGATCGAGCTGCCACACGCAAAATTTGCTCCCGTCTGCGCGTACCGTAGTGTTTGCAGTCTGTCTTGGCTTGAATAACAGCGACAAAGCCTCTGACACAATTGTACGGCCGCAGCTGCGACCAGGGATCTTCCATAAAACCGCGCAACGGATCCCGACCATTCAAATCGATTAGATTTGCCACTGACCACTTCAGTCTTCCGCTTTCGCAATCGTCTATTAACTTGTTTGGCCTATTGTTATGATAGGTCGCGTAGCAAATCACCAAGTTAACAATAAGACTGCAAGATGCTAACTGAAAATATAGTTTATACCTCTAGTGGTCGATGTCACCGTGGTACTATGATGGTATCGCGTTTACCCACTACATTTAACGGTGTAGACATGAGTCCAAATATAGACGGACATTTTTCGTTCAGACAGCCATCTGAAGTAACGCTTAACGATAGTCTAATGGGCATAGGAAAGGACACATCTATTTATCATTTAAGAGGACAATGATAAAAACGTCATCGTCATCGTCATCGTCATCGAGGTGCAATAGGCTGGCCGATGCGCGTCGGCTAAGGCGACTGAAAGTGACTTCTGTCAATTGATATAATTCGCACGAGACCACCATAAAGCGCGTATCTTTTGACATGTAGAACGCATTGACGGAACGTTACACCTATCACAGTTGCAATGGTCGCGGAGTCTGCGGACTGGGAATTTGTTAGGCTTTGTCCCGAAATAAAATTCGTTCAATCTAATAATGCGATTACCTATCTAGAATAAAGCAATTGAAAATTATCGCAATGCGTATTTAGTAAACATCCCAAGTCAACGGGATGCAAACAAATAAACGACGCACAACATATCGTCAATAATACTCGTCTGGCATACCAAAAAGAAACAATAAAGGAACGTGGCGGTACGTCAGCGTGAAGACAGCGAGCAAATCCTCTAGCGGCTTTTCTATATTCTTTAATTAACATAAGAGGGCGGAAAGAAGCATAGAATCGACACATGTTGTCGCCCATAGTCGACTGAATATGAAAAGTGTCAGAAAGTACCCAGAACGTGTTTGTCGGTGTCGTTAAGCAAAAACGCTTCGCCTGTTAGGCGACAGAAAACTATTGCGCTATATGTTCTACGTACGTTTGAATTCAACATTCAACGAAAGGCCAATTTCTTGAAAAGAAAGTATATTCAGCATAAAGTGGTACCGAGTTTTACTTCGGTTTATGCTAGCGAAGTTCGCGTGGCGTTCACCATACGTCTACACTTCTCCCCCGTGGCTCTTCCGTGTGATCTTGTTTGTGACGGCTATAAATATGTGGCTCGTGGCAATAGTTGTACAGTGCCAACAAGTCGAAATAAAAATTCTCAGTTTTAGGAGAATCGAAAACAGCTCCCCTCTCCAGTAGAAATAAGGGTATGGGTGTCGTTTTTGAAAATACGATACGGGTTAATCTCAGTCCTTTGACAAGCCTTGGCGAACATTTCTCCAAGGCATTTACACCGAACAAAAAAATAGAATAGAACTATGGGTCTGGCTGTCATCTGTAGAAGGAATATGGACTTGATATGATATTTAGAAGGCGCTTCAAAGAACTGTCCTGCCGCTCCCAGCTCCGTATCGATCTGGTTTAGCTACGACAAACAACGAGCTACCAAAACTGATTTCTAAAACGAGGTGAAGACATTGACGTTCACGACACATTCGTTGCTCACATAATTTTCGACGCCAACGTACGGCGACGAGTAAGACAGCTATATATTTCCAGCTGCTGCCAATGGGCGTCACGACGCGAGACTATGCAAAAGCGACTGTATTGACGCCGGCCAATTAATAGACACAACTTTTCATAGCAGAATAGGTTAAACTAGGACTAAAAGTTAGAGCTTTTTGCATCGATACACGTTTGCACACATGCGACCTCGAGGTCAAACGGCAAAATTCAGTCAGCGATAACAGTTAGTGAATCGACCTTGAAAGGTCGGTCGATGACAGAAGAGCCATAGTAAAAGCACGGCAGGAAAGCGGTCCATTCGGTGGACGGTGAACGTATTCGAAAGTTCATCTTTACATGCACGATTACAATCTACCACTGCGATCGCTCATAGCAGACCGCCGACGTACTACACTTCATCAAAAAGACGGAAGAAAAATTTTCCTAAAAAACATCTTCTTTCCTAGTTATATCGCTTTTATCGTTTCGCCTCACACGATACCAAAATGACCGTCTATGAATTTCAATTGATTCAGTTTCCCACGGCTGTATTCCACTTGTTGATTTCACTATGGAGCAAACGTTGGGATATAAGTCACGACTGTTACACAAATGTGCCGTCTGGTCGAGCATAGAACGAGACGCGGATCCACAATAAGAACTGCAAAGCGCTATAGATTAGTACGCGCTTTCTGTGTTTTACGGTGTTGCTGCTAGCGATAGCCTGGTTCTGCTGAAAGGGCGATACGTGTCTGGCGATGCGTCAAATTTCTGTATTCTGTATGTTCTGGATTAATTCACCATCGTCATGGTGCGCTACAAAGCGAAATGTACATAGGGAAAAAAAACTCTGCCGTCGTACAGAACATTTCAGCTATCAGCGATCAAGCCAATGTTCAGACTTCGACGCCGTACGTGCCAGGATTCCGTGTGTTTCGGCAAGGCTGTACTTTCGATGGGGCGACCTCCCCTTCCACCGTCGCACCGCCGATGTTCAGACAGAACGAAAACTGTGTGGGTTATCTTCGGGATCAATTTAGTTCCTCGTTACAATATTCGCTTACGTCGATAATGGCTCGCAGACAACTATTCTGAACTCACATACACGAACCACTTATAGATGGGGGCTTAAAAAGGTCTTACGCAATGCAAAAACTCCGATATGTGTATTTAACGGTTCGTGGTGTACTGATAAGACAGATGATTTGACCTTCAGCATCGCAAGTTCGAACAGAGGCTCAGACACCTGATCGTCAGCTGTGTACATTAAGAAAGCGTCAATCAGTCATGTAAATAGTTCAGACGATAGATACGAAACGCTATGTAGCCAGCTCATCGCTGCTATGGCTGTCCGCTATATGCCGCTGGCAGTGCGAAGCAGTAACGAATTTCGAACCGAAGCTGGTAACTTCATGATTCGG